ATTCTCTTTGGGTACAAAAACTCATTATTTTGGCCGGACTATTCTTCATGGTGGTGCAAAGGTTTGATTTCCTGCTCTCCTTTTCACGCTTCATTAATTTCTTTGGTAGATGGCATATCAATTTATGCTTATTTCTTTACAGTATCAAGCAACAGGCAGGGGATTTGTAGTTCGTCACATTAAATTTTCAGAGAACTACAGGCTCTACTCTCGCAGTCATTTTGTTAAAGGGTATGGTTCCTTGTCACTATCTTTGTTTTATCTCTCCTCTGTTTTAATAATATTTTGATTCCATGTTTATAAGGCAAACGCTACCAATCTCAAAAATAACGCAGTTTCAGATTTTTGTGTTCTATTTAACTCATTTACTTTGTTCTTGTCAGATTGGAAGTAGTGCTTTTGTTGGTCGTGTACCTTGCCTACGGCGATAATGATGGGAGTGCTCTAACATATATTTTTCTCACAGTGACCAGTTGGTTTATGGCACTTTCTTGGCTCTTTGCTCCATATTTGTTCAATCCGTCTGGTTTTGAGTGGCAGAAGTAAGTTCTGTTTCATTTACATTTTTAAATTTGTTATTCTATTGTACTTCATTGGTTAACCCATTATATGTCCTTATAGGATTGTGGAGGATTTTCGAGATTGGACAAATTGGCTTCTTTACAGAGGTGGAATTGGAGTTAAGGGTGAAGAAAGCTGGGAAGCTTGGTGGGAGGAAGAACTGGTAATACCCATGATGCAAGATACCTCCTAGTTATCTTCAGTCTTTTACCCCTTCAATTGCTTTACTTGTTAAAGTTAATTTCTAGTGACAACTTCTGTTTAAGCACTGCCTAGACAATAATTAATTTTTCAGTCTAATGGTGACCCTATAAAATAAGAATGCTTGTGATGGGGAGTTCTTGAAAGAATCTGGTGGATGCCTGCCACAACACCCCCCACCCCCCCCCAAAAGGAGCATATGCTTTCAAAAAATTACCATAGGGTAGATTGATAACAATTGATAACTCTGGAAAAATGCCCACTTGTATAACCCAGGAGATAAAATACATTACAAAAGAGGATTGGTGAGTTACTATTTCAGTGAGTCTGGAACCAGATACTTTGGAAATAGGAACTGTACTAATCATAGTACCAGGTTGTTAGGGGTTGGGGTTCCCCAAGCAGCTTGGTAAACGTGCAAGTTGCGTTAGCAGCAGCCCCTCTTAATCAAGGGTGTGGTATGTCTTCCTTATCTAGACCCTTCTTATATTGGGTCATCATCTTGTGGAACCGTTATGTTACAATGTTGTAGCCTTTTGTCCTTGTTTACCTCCTCAATCACTGTCTCAGTGAAATTGTGTGCTTTCATTGTTTGGTTTTTGGTTGCTCTATTGTGTTGTTTTTTATATTCCCTTGTTTATGTTCCTGAGATTTCATCTGCAGGCACATATTCGGACTTTTGGTGGTAGGATTGCGGAGACAATTTTGAGTCTGAGATTCTTTATCTTTCAGTATGGCATTGTCTACAAGCTAAATGTGAAAGGAGACAGTACGTCATTGACGGTAATAGTTTATTTTATATTAATATGGGCTTTCCTTCTCATTCCTTCAAAATGCAGCCTATTTTTCTATGCTTGTAACTGTTGCACTTTGTTGTCTATCCCGTGTTCAGCAATTTCTGGGTCTGTATATAAGCTGGTGCGTTTAATATTTTCTGATCTTTCATGCATTTTCTTGCCCTAATATTTCATGTTTTACTGTAGGTGTATGGCCTCTCATGGGTTGTTCTGGCAGTGCTTATACTCCTTTTCAAGGTGAAATTGAAACTACTGAGCGATAGCATCTATTTCGGCCTACATTATGTGATGCAAATCCTGTTTCTATATTTAATAATTTTTTTGCTTTGGTTTCACAGGTGTTTACCTTCAGCCAGAAGATATCTGTTAACTTCCAGCTTGTGCTGCGTTTCATTCAAGGTGTATCCTTCTTGTTGGCGCTTGCCGGTTTAGCAGTCGCAGTTAAATTTACAGATTTGTCAATTGCAGACGTTTTTGCTTCGATTTTAGCCTTTATACCCACTGGGTGGGGAATCCTTTCTGTAAGTCTTTTCATTTCCTATTCTTTTATTTCTTTTCTTACTACTCCACTCTCGTTTATGTTACGCGATAGCAGTTACTGTTGAATTAGATTCGGGCACTCGTCCATTCCTTCACAATTTCTAGGAAAATTAAATTGGAACAATTTGTGTTTTGTGTTATGCATAAACAATTTCCGTTCGTTATATTTTAGCCTGACCAAATTACTTTGGGAACCGATTGTGTAATTGAAAATTAGTTTGAGTACGTATCAGTAACGCCCTCTTCCTCCCATTTATATTGACGTTAATCTGTGCGATTTTTTCCAGATTGCTATAGCCTGGAAACCGTTGATGAAAAAGCTTCACCTGTGGAAGTCCATTCGTTCCATTGCCCTTCTATATGACGCCGGGATGGGGATGATCATATTCATACCTATTGCATTGTTCTCATGGTTCCCATTTGTATCGACATTCCAAACGCGGCTCATGTTCAACCAGGCTTTCAGCCGAGGGTTGGAGATCTCTCTCGTCCTTGCCGGAAACAACCCGAATACCGGAATATAGCTACCGAGTTTTTCTTCCCTTTATGTATCATCTTAAGTAGCTTATGTTCCCCGGTAAACGTATGGGTAGCGTGTAATCTTTTTGCTTCTTTGATCTAGCTTGTCCACTAATCGTGTATCCGTAACTTCCATTTTCGAGACATTGTAAATAGTAGTGTATATCATCGATCGTGTCGTATATCGCCGTTCGGTTTAGTCGCTTGTGTGCCACATTGTGTACGAGGAATGTATACTGATAATATATACAGTTTTTAGCGACCAAACTATCAATGATTTTCAAGATTTTGTGGCTTGAAGCACTTCGCGAACACTTTCTTTTCTAAATCTTTACTGGTTCGTTTCTTTTGATACTCGGGTATGCATGAATGAACTCGAAATTGTGTCTACGGAGCTAATAATTTAGACCAATTATTCTTGCTAATGTTGGAAGATGTACCAAGTTCGAATTTCGTAATTCCATCCATCGATCAAAATTGAAGGCTAGAAAAGAATCAATTGAAATTTCATCCTAAATGGACCCAATGTTGCCCGTGTGGTTGCCAAATGCGATGGCAAAAAGGTCATTATCAAGGCAGTGAAATTTTAATGTTACGTAACCATGCACGTAAATGATATTCATAAGAGGCGTGATCGTATAGAGTTCAACAAAATTTAGATTGAAACTTTGATTTGGATTAAGATTGATAACGAGTTTAATTGCAAGGGTATTATTAAAAGTTTTATTGATAACAAAACTGGTATCAGATTAAAACGACTATTAAGAGGGTTGTGTGGAAGGCTAAAAAAAGTGAGTTTCTTAACCGTTTTCCTTCCTTGACAAAGAAGATGTTGATGGTGTTTTCCTTCCTCAAGGGGTAGAGAGGGATCAAAGGCTTTTGTGAATTGTGAGATGGAGACAGATGAGTGGTTGCCAAAGCTTATGTGATAAAAAGAACGTAAACATCACAAGGAATCAATCGGAGCCACAAATGCAATATATATATATATATATATATATATATATATATATATATATATATATATATATATATTCGTCCCACAAAAGATGCACTAAAAGTTGGGGGTGATGATGAGTTTGTAATTCCAAGTTTACACACAAAACGAATTTGGAAGTTCCTTTAAAATTATTGAAACTGCTGTTAGGGAAAATATTTTTATGCTCCAAAAACGTTTAAAGTTATTCAACAAGAAGTACCACACTTAAAGTGCTTCTTGCCAAAAAAACCTTTAGTACTTTTTTATGATTTACTTACATTTTTATTAAGAATTCGTTTTAAAAACATTTTCATAAAAACCATTATCAACTATTTTAAAAAGACTTCTAGACAAGCTTACAACCTCATTATTCATCACCAAGCAAAAGTTATATATTGCACTTATTTCTTATGAAAAATCATTGAAAAGGAGATGAGCACCTGACGAATATTTCAGGGCGACAACGTTCAATAATATTTATACAATTATATACTACAGAAATAAGTCACAAAGTTGACTCTCGCGTCTTGAGATTTCCAAAATTAAAATATTTATATAACCTGTTTTTGGAAATTGAATAAGCGAAACGCTAACAAAAAGTAAGCAAAAAGTATAAATATACAGAATGAGAATGCTTGAAACTAAAAGATTTTCGGACAGCCTATCTAAATCAAACTTAGATAAGTAATAATAATCTATATGCAATTGAATCTGGTCCAATATCCTACTGCATAGACAATTAAGTTTCTACTCATGCGTCCCAGTTTCGAAACTCTTTCGAATTTATACCCATACGTTTCAGATTCGAACCTCGTCCATCCTGTCAATAATAGTAAATTTTATAAATAAATAAAATCCTATGTTTGGTCTTTTATTGTGTACCAAATTATACTATTTGTTGTAAAAGAAAAATGCAATTTCCCTCTAGTGACCTACTCCAACTTGCCAGATCTCCGAATAGGAGGTGGATTGTCTGTCTTCCTATTTCCATACTCTCTCCATGCTCTCCTGTGATGTGTGATCACTGTTAAGCCACGTTAATATTTTATATTAATTTTTTATAGAAATAATAAAACAAAAAGTAATAAGAATATAAAATGTTGACGTGGTATGCTCTCCTGTGATGTGTGGTCACGGTTAAGTCACGTTAATATTTTATATTAATTTTTTATAGAAATAATAAAACAAAAAGTATTAAGAATATAAAATGTTGACGTGGTTTAACCGTCATCACACAAATAGTAGGAGATGGGAAGAGTATGGAAATGAGAAAGCAGACCCACCTCCCTCCGAATAATGTCCAACTGACACGTAACAGTCCATCTGGGCCCTCCATATCTAAAATTCGGATCCAACGATCCACAGGCCGCAATCACACCCTACATATACATCCCCACGCGCACCGTTCGCTCTCCTGACAACGGCTTCGATTCGATCGAGAGCTCTCGAAATTGCTAGAGAGAGAAACAGAAATCAAATCGTAATCAAGAAAAATTAGAAAATCAAATTCTTCGAATTTTCCTCTGTTTTTATTTAATTTTTTAAAAAGGAAAATTTTCGATCATTTCTGTGTGGGAGGTTTAAGATCGAGACATTGGATTGGAATTAATCGGATTGTGAGGGTTTGGATCTTGAAGTTTGGGGGTTTTTGTGCGATCTGATCGGCGGTTTTGATTGATCGGAATTGGATTGGAAACGGACGAGTTTGTTTGAATTTGTGAGATTTGGGAATTTAGGGTTTGTGGAGTTTCCTTCGAATTTGGGGGAAACGATGAACGATCAGTCACAGCTGATGAATCAAGCGCCACCGATGATGAGTTTGAGCCAAGCTCAAGTGATGAGCCAGCCGCCCCCGCAGATGATGAGTCAGCCGCTGCAGCAGATGATGGCGCCGTCTTCTCAATCCCTGGCGGTTCAGCAGCAACAGCAGCAGCAGCAGCAATCTCAGTTGATGATGATGAAGAGTCAGTCTCAGCCTATGATGATGAATCGGAACTACAAGGCTTGGCCTCAGCCGCAGCCTCAGTTCGCCGCCCAAAAGCCGCCGCCGTCAAATGTTGGACGCAACAATTGGAAAGGCAAGAAGGGCGGAGATAAGAGGAGAACGGACAAGAATGTCCCCAATTTGCCGTTGAGTGGTCAGACAAGCGGAGGAGGTGGAGGAGGAGGAGGAGGAGGAGGAGGAGGATACATACCCCCGACGCTTCATGAGTTACAGTCTCAGAATCGAATGAAAGCCCGGAAATTTTACCCCAAAAAAAAGTTTAACAATAGGTTTGCGCCTTACGCCCCAAGGAACACGACATCGTATATTATTCGTGCGAAGAAGGCCGGCGGTATAGCCTCACTAGTTTCGCCTTATCCGGTGACTCCGGCTGTTCTGCCCACACCCATGTTCTCGCCTTCGCGGGAAGTCTTGGGGGATATGGCGAAAGAGGAGTGGGGTGTTGATGGGTATGGGTCGATGAAGGGGTTGATTCGGCTTCGGTCGCCTGGAAATGATGATGATGAGGGTGGTGGTGGATCGAGCGAGAGTGATGTGGAGGAGCATGTGGAGGTGGAGAGGAGGTTGGACCATGATTTGAGTAGGTTCGAGATGGTGTACCCGAATTACAGTGGGGTTGAGTATAACAATGCTTTGGAGAATAGAGTGGATGATCAGGATACGCATATAGCTCAATTGGAGGAGGAGAATCTGACATTGAAGGAGAGACTTTTCTTGATGGAGAGGGAGTTGGCGGATTTGAGGAGGCGGATGCAGTTCATTGAGAGGAGGTGCCATGTGATGGGGGAGGTCAATGAAGAGGTGGTGGAAAATGCATTTGAAAATGATAGCGATGGAGGGTCGGATGCACCCCATATGGGAATGGAGGGTGAGAACAATCCTGAGATGGTAGATTATGTATCGAGAGATGGAGGAAGTAGAAGTGTTGGCGCATTGGCCGAGAATGAAAGTGTTAGGGATGTTGATGTAGGTATGGAAGAATATGTGCCCAATGAAATGATTCTAAAGGAAAATGAGGTGAAAGATGAAACACGAAATGAGTTTGTAGGTAGCGAAGAGGTTGAGGAATTTAAGAGTGAGCTTACTCCAGAAAAAGTAACTGGAAATAAAAATGAGGCTGAAGATAAGATGGTGAAAGATGAAGTTGAGATCAAGAATGAGACTGAGTTAATGCAGGGTGAGATGAATGCAAAGAAGGATGAGGAAATGGGAATTGCGTGCCTGGAGAAGAGCATTGGCGACGGTGACTGATCTGTCCCGCGTTAATGTAAGTTGTTACTGAACAGATAAACATTACCCTTTCAGTCGTCAGTTGTGAAACATCTGGATATATGCACTCTGTAGATTCGCATTATATTTCATTTCTTTCTTTGTATTTTCATTTTCAGTGTGTTGGTGGGAAAGAGAGGACGAACTGTTGGTGTTCTCAATTTTCTGCCCCATTCCGACCTAATAATATCAGTAGGGATTAGGGTGTAGGTTTTATATCTACTTGGGTTGGGGTGTTAGAGTTAGTTGTAAGGTTCATTCTGTTAAAAGGATATGTCTCTGTATCGCTGCATGTACTCGCTATAAGGTTTGAAATGAACCTATGCATTTGTTAGCGTTGATCTAAATCCTATTACGTATCCAATGTTCAATTTCCTAATGTCATGCAAACCTTTTTTTTGTTAAATGATTTTCCTTGTGGTTTCATAAAATATCTGTTATATGATAAGTAGTCTTCTTCTACTAGTTTACACTGATGTACTTGAATGTGTCAACTGACGTGTAGCGACTAGGACTTGGTGAATTTTAATTCTGTATTTGCAATTCTTGACGGTGATCAAAAAAGAACTTTTTTATATTCATCCTATACAGGCAAGACTGCTGATTATGTAATTGTAAATATTTACCTACACTTGAAATTTTATGATTTAAGACAGGGTTATCTCAAAATTGATTTTAGATTGTGTGCGTGCGCCCGTGCGAGTGTGTGTACATGGAACAATTTTTGTTGTCAAAACTTAGCATCTGTGGGCTGCTGGTTAGTAGCTTTCCTTGTGGTTCACTTGTATGTTCGTATGAAGTGACTTACACTCCCTTCTTCAATCTTCTGTATCGCCTGTGAGGGTGGTTCCAAATGCGCAGTTTGAAATCTCTAGCATCTTTGAAGAAGGCAAATGTGCACTTTTGCCAATTTTGGGAAGCATTGATGCCGAAAACCAATACAAGTGGACGTCTGCTAGAGAAAAGGCTTGATTGTTAATTTTGATAAGGCTGCATCATCGCTGTTCTTTTCAGTGCATGCATTACTTCAAATTCAACAGTGCTGCTCATTCAGGTTTCTCTAATTCCCTCAATATTTCTTTAACAAATTGCTCTGTTCTTTTTGCATCATGTTAATAATCATGGCACGTCTTTTGTCAAGCAATGTTCTGCAAATGGTTCTTAGGTACGAGAGCAAGAGGATGGTTTCTCTGAGCAAAGCTCTTCGTCACTCAAAACATCTCTGAGCATACAGGTAACAGATGTAATGCATTTATGAAAAGCTTTCACTAATCAGAAGTGAGGATCAAACCTAGGGTTGCATCTAGCTTATTGATGGTAAAAGCCCATTTGCTAATATTTCATGGTACCTCATAAGTCTTATATGGACGGAAAGTGCTCAACACCTTTTACCATTCTTTGTTTTCAGAAACTCTTTTTACTCCAGTAAACTTATAATCTGACATTATAAATGGTCCTCCGTCGTTCCTGTTTGATGTTGAATATTTTCATTTTCTCCATTAAACGAGTGCCATGAAAGCTTAGAATCTGCGGCCATCACTCGTTTAGTTGTGTTTTGGTTGATCTTAACGGAAGTTGAAATCTTTTATCAGTCCTAGGCAGGAAGGATACCTTAAGGAAGCTTGTGAAAGCTCGTGGAATTGCTTACGTTATGGTGAAACAACGGTCTCTTGTGAAAGATGCTCTGTTCTTTGTTTCGCCTGCAACCTTGTTTTCTTGATGCACGCTATATTTGGTGGAGAGTGCAAATGTGAAGCTCAAATGGACCGACTGCAGACGCGTGCTTTATTGCTTTGCATCCACACATCAAAGCTGCCTTTGGTTCGGCCGAAAACTCCTTGGAGTGAGACTTCTCATTATCGGTAGATTTCCCGGTGGTTCGTTTTCGTAGTTTTTCGTTCCCATGCCACCACTTCAATAACGTTTATTAGGACCAAACCAGAAAATTACTGTTTTAATGTAATGTAGTTATACTGTTTGCCAGAAAATTACAGTTTTAATGTTATGAATTCGTCTTTTGTTCTTCGTAGTTTCACGAGTTTATTCGAATAAGCGATTAGATTACAGTTTTAATCTAATCAGCCTCGCGGACGATTAGATTCTAACACAGGAACATTACCACATGAAAGAAATATAGATATGAAACAAAAACCAAGCAAGAAATTGGAACAATTGTCTGCAAAGTAGGCTCGGAAGTTTTCCGTCTCAAGCTCCTCACACAAAGACATCCGTCTTCGCCGGCATCCTTCTGAGCAAGTTCTGGGGGTATACCGGGAATCTGGTCCGGAAAATTGGAGGCAATAACACGTACCCTCCGGCAAGAAAAACAATAGCATCAAAACGAACGACGGAAAGTATGAAGACAGCAATGACACAGGAGATAACAAACATAGATGTGGCTCTTGGATCCCTCCAACTAAGCAAAGATTGCACCCTCTCCCCTTGAGTTGCTATGTCACCGAGCAGTGTCTGGATATTCAATCCAATACTTCGAAGCCGATCATATCTTCTTCTCAGAGTCTCGACGTCGGTCCTTCTTGTTGGAAACGGATCCAACTCTTCATCCAGAACATCTGGAAGAGCTGTATGGAGATGAGACAATTCGGTGTTTATGTGAGGAATTTGTTTAGGCCTATTGGGGTAACTTCGAATCCCTACGAAAACGCAGTAGACCAATGCTCCGATTAGAGAATAGATAAGCGTCTGAGGCCAAACAACCAAGATAGTGAACGCAACGAGAACCGGTATGGATATCCACAGGTTAGTCCAACTGCGTGCTTGATCGAACTTTTTGATGAGCCAAAAGAAAACATCCAAAACTTTGACGATCCTCTCGAAGTTGACTCTGGCTCTTCGAAGGCTCCACGAACGGGCCTTCACATCCAACACATAATCCACGACCTCTCTCCTTATGGGTGGCTCAGACTTGCTCAACTTCAACGCAATAGCATCAGCCGCCTGTTGCAATAATATAGACATCTGATCCACAGAGAGTGGCTGAAGGTAATGCATTTTCGGCATCAGAGGCTGCGTATAGGTCCACAGCGTGTTAAGCATACTGTCAACCGAAAATCTCACCACTAATTGGAGTTCACCCTTCTTGTCCAACCCAGAAGGCTGCAGAACCATTAGCGGAAAAGAGTTTTTGTATATCTTACCAGCTTCGAGAGTTGATAGCCGAATCTTTACCTTCCCAATAGGTAAATCCATAGCCCCGCCGGATTTATCCCAGCTTTCCAAATGATTGTTGTCGAAAACTGCAACAGTTATGACAGTACATGCATCATAGACATCCCAATTGTATTGTTCATTCCACTTTGGATCACGGCTATCAACAACCGTCCTTGTTTTCACCCACTTCGGACCATATTTAGCCACGCAGTACGCATCAACGCGATTCTTAGGCCGCACTGGTTTCAGTGTAGAAGCGCTTATGATTCCCAGTTCTAGAACCCCAATTTTCGGCTTCCACAATGCCTTTGCTGATGGCCTATAATCACTAATAGAGTGAGCAGGCTCATCAAGAACATGGTATCCGCCATCCAAAGAGACCCTCATCTGAATCTTACTAGCAAACTTCACCTTCCCCTCCAGTTTTTCCATCATCTCAAGGTTATATTTCACAGCAGTGGCCGCTGCAGCATTATTCCTCTTTGCGACATTCGCTAAAGGAATCTTGCAACTACCTAACGTGAAACTTCCTCCCATATTATCCACCTTCTCCTCCACGCTCACAATCAAATCGTCCTCAAACTTTTCTGCCACAACAAACATTAAATCTTCATTCCACATAGGGTTATCGGTCTTAGTTTGCGAAGCCTTAGTTCTCAACACCCACCTCCCAACACTAGCTTTCACGAAAATCTCCCGTGGCTTTCCGTTATTCATGTCTCTGAACACCAGATCTTCAGCTTGAATCACATTAACTCTAAGGTACCAAAGCTTATAATAAAAGTCATACATTTTGGGATGAGTTTCCGAAACACCATAACCGCTTACTACTGAGGCCGTGTCAGCATAATAAGGTTCGTTAAATGCACCATCAGCCTGTGCCCCCATCCAATAGGCAAGCAACAATTCTGCTCCTTTTAACTCCTTTTCGTCCTTCAGCCTAACCCACTGCGACGCGAATGGACTGTTAGGAAGAATTCTTATTTGAGCTTCGTTAACAGCGAAATCAAACTTGCCAATGGTTCCATCTCCAACCACAGCAGCCTTGTCCTTCACCAAAATATCCACTTTGTTGCTCTGAAGTTTGTCTCTTTTGAAAGCAAACACTTGGTTATTGTTCTCCAAGTGCTGTGTGGTTGCCTTGTAGTTCCCAATGTTCACTTCAATGTACGGGTGACATGCTGGCGGCAAACCTCTGACTTTCTCAAACTTCACATACAGATACTGCATTTGCTCCACCAAGTCGAAGGTGGTCGACGGGCCTGACGTATTGGCTGCCTTGCCAGTGATTTTTGGCTTAATCTCCTTGAGGGAAAAATCTTCCTTCTTTGGCGCATTTTGCGGAGCCAACATTGTTCACACTTCACACTGCAAGAACCGTAAACTGGTTTAATCAATTATTCACACGATTAAAGGAAGCTGTTATTGACATTCCAAAAACGTCACCTGCATTCCTTCCTAGTGAGATATACAATGGAAAAGCGCATGATGGTTTTTAGTGCTAATAAAAATTCCCCATATCAACCTCAGTATTCAAATGTTTGGAATACAACCACATATCGATTTCATAACAGATAAATATAAATTCTCAATACAGTCGAAGACAATAAGAAGAAAAAAAATCAATCTGTAGTGACATATATTTTCCGAATTTATCAGAAATAGGAGCAGAACGTTATTACTTTCTCCAGTTTAATCATAACACTTCAAGCAGTGTTAGAAATCAAAACTAAACAAATGCAAGACAAACGCGTACCGATTTGTGGATGAAAAAAAATTGTAAAAAGGTTTGTTTAAGCAAATAGGACACTTACCAGGTGCTCGAAGAACCCTCCGAATTGTGGTTTTGAGAAAAAAGTGAGCAAAAGAAGTACAGCCTTTGAATTTAAAGAGTGAGAACCAAGACAATCTATGGTTTCAGAAGACATTAAAGTCCAAATCTAGGTTGATTGAGTAAGAACCAAAACAATCTAGGGTTTCAGAAGACATTGAAGTCCAAATCTAGGTTGATTGAATGTGGAAGATTTTGCAACGAGAATGAAAGAATAATTCAGGCAAGTTTTCATTTTTTTTTTCCTTGATTACTTAGGATCCAAGTGATCAAATAAGTAATTGCTTCTAAGACACTTTCATTAGGGGTGGGGGTGGAAGAGTATGATGACCGTTATTCTATAAAATTGGGTTTTTATTGTGACATGATATTTGGTGGGGGATTCTATTGACGAGATATATTTCTTTTTTAGTACCCTTTTTTGTGAGAGAATTTTGCTGATTTGTTTAGAACATAGAAGTACTGAATAAGTAATCCAAGCCCTAGCGTATAAATACCAAAATACCAAGCTCGAATAATAAAGAACGATGGAAGTGATTTACGCACAACTATTTTCTCCTCATGTACGTACACTTCTATTTATTTTTTGCTTTTAAATTGAATAAATCAAAACAGACAAAAATAAAGTTTAAAAGGAGAAAATTAGGCATGCCCGAAATCATTGTTCATAAAACTTTTACACTGTAACATAAATGAATTCTTACCAGAGAGTAGAATATATTTGGGATATGATTAATTTCAAATTCTTACCAGAGTAGAACATATCTGGGATACGATTAATTTCATAATTACATTTGATGTTACGAATAGGCAAAAAATAGCCAAGAAATACATGTCAAGTCATTAATGCTAATATGTATGTATTTTTTCTCAGAGTTACAATCAAACATTCAAAATAATCTGGATGTGCTTTCATATTTACCAACACAAGGAACTACAAGAAGCAAATTTGCATCGCTTGAAACTTAGATCTTATATCTGTTCGGTTAGACCATCTTAGTTCTGTTCAACACCATCTGTTCGTAAATACACGAAAACAATTTTTCTAAACCCCCGTGTAATTCTGATCCTGTCATCACTATACCTGCAGCATACAGTGTGAGTAGATAAATGCATAAAAAAGGGATTCCAGATAATCAAAATCTTGAGGAAAGAAGTACATGAATAACAAAATGAGATATCTTACAGTATCTCAAGTTCGAACTTGCTCGCTAGCTCTACAGGATACCCAAACTGACCGCCGATGATGGCCGCGTCATCCATTGTAAGATCATATGTTCTGCCGCCAGTTTTCCTGTCAACGTGATGGAGAATGTAAAAATCAGGCTTCACAATACAGCAGTACTACCATAAATTCCAAGTAATGAGAAACTTACACGAATGTGCCTGTAATGGAGAATTTGAGTCCAAGTAAGGTATCAACCACAAACTTTATTTGTCCATCTTTCTTGACAATCTATAATCACAGCATTACATTTTTTTTAGAAGAAGAGAAGAGTAAAGAGAATTAAAGAAATCTGTCGAAAATATAAGCTATAAATTTTCGCTTACTTGCTTTCCCATTAGACCATTGGCTGCATTCTCTAACCAACTATCTGTCTCTTCCTGCCACATATGAGAGGCGAGTGAAAATTGTAGGCAAAAAAATTCTAAGTGGATTAGTCACACCAAATTCAAGTCTCTCAGTGTCTTTTCCACTTCCCACGCCACTAGGATATCTGTAAAAGGCAACATAAAAACACTCTATGGCCAATTTATAGGCATGAGATTACCTGTGAACTCCATATCATTTCCCACTCTCCGTCTTGGAGTTCCAGATCACCCATGTTCTGATTTAACGAGATAAACTCATCGATTGCCTTTGATAGAAGAAATGGGGTTGCAGGAGACCATATCAAGAAGGCAAAATTTTCTTAGGCATGCAACTTCAGAAAATTGAATTGGAAACATCACCTCTTTAACTCCTGTACCGGTGGAGATTGTTGACAGCAATCTTTGCCTAGGTCCGGTTTTCTTTTGCAGCACAAATGTAGTTCCCTGCACTACAAAGATATTTATGGATATCCTTAGCTATAAGCAACTCATTTTTAAGATTTAAGCAATTAATTGAAAGTCTCTGACTATGTGTTAATATCACTGATGTGAAATACAGCACAGAATGTTTTAAAATCTTTATACTACTAAGCAACAAAGTGCCGATTACCTTATTTCCTCTTGAGATACGAAGGTTTCCAGATTCGGACAAGTATGTGGTATCCAACCAGCCCTTTGCCTCATCTCCGAGAAGTCTGAATGGAACTGGATATGGAACCTTAAACGGTAAAAATTTAAGAGAAAATGCTGCTTTGTCAAACCGAAAGAGGATTCGTTTCCCATCTTTTATTGATGCTGCTGCCTGCGTGAAAAGAAAATAGAGAATGCATAAGTGAAAAGAAAATACTATGACAACATTTTTTACTAGAATCAAAGGAGGCTAAAGATAACAACTGAATGGTACTATGGTAGTAACTCTTTTGTGCTTTTGAGAAGATATATGTGATGATATTTAGGAGTTGGAGAGATAGCAGGTCGTACCTCTACTTTTAGTTCACCTACTGCATCAGAGAATTTGACGATATTCGATACGCGTGGATCACTTGTCCGAAGATATACCTCTTGAAATACGCTAAAGAAGTCAACCCCCACAAACGTCCTCTGCAAAATTTTAGAAGCATGATTCAAACTAAATGCCACTTTCAAATTGTTTAGAGTATCAGCCAGACCAATTGTCTTAAACAAAATTGGTTTCAATAAAAGATCCATACCTATAAATATACAATGGATTACATGTGTTCATCTGTCACATTGCTAGGGTGAATGACTTCAAGTTTGTAAGGAAATCCAAAACATAGTGCAAAAGAAACCAAGTTTTTTGCAATTTTCAAATTTGTGATAACACTTTACAGGAATGCACAACAAATAACAATTCGATTCTTCGGATGAATGATTTGAAAGAAATTAAACAGACCATATTCCTTTATAATTTCTTAATTTTATAAGAAAGAAAAATTATAATCATTTACAAAAGGGGGAAAAAGCTTTAGTTGATAAGGTCATACTTGGATTGGAGAGGCAGTTCCAGGTCTTGTAGTAAACATCAATTGCCAGCGCCCTTCAATTAAACTAGAACTTGTCTGCATACATAACAAAACATACAAATTCAATATTCCTATAAATAAATTTAATGAGACCCTTTATAAATTAAGCATACACGGAAATATGCACAAATATAACCGATTATAAACTTTACATAAAAAATAAAACCTAAGAGAAACGAAAAAGAAACTAAACCTGAATTTGTATGTATATGACTTATTATCAGTTTAGCGTCTCTTAGTTCTACTTTTGATTAAAACTTTGTGGCCGGTATTTTATTGCGCGTATTTCTCAAAAGCACATATATGCATCTGTTTGGAATATTAATATAACAACGATGACGAACCGGGTCAGGAACGCCTTGTAAACCTTCAAGAACATTCACAGCATTTTGAACATCCTGCAAAAGCATTAGCAATTCTCGTTCAATCAATTTTCTTAAAAAATAAAAAATATTACAGGATATTTTATAAAGTGAAGCAGAGAGAAGTGCTACAGTTAGTTGCTGAGGAGAAGCAGAGCGGCCTCGGCCTTGGATTCCGATGAGGGCTTCGACGAGGGAGTTCTCTTGCTCCGTAAACGAAACTTCTTCTTGAGTCAACACTTTCGTCAACGACTTTGTACGGCCTGCACTTGAAGCTGAAGAGTTTCTGTAGAAGGGAAGAGTTGTTGGCGATGGTGAGAATGTGGGTTTTTGGCGCCAATAATGGAAGCTTCTCAGGTTTGTTAGATTTGCTACTGCTGCCGCCATTGGTGACCGAAGATTGAAGAAGCAGAGGCTGAGAGGCTCATAAGTGCAAGCACACTAATATCTCCGGTCTTTTGCCACGTGGCAAGTTATCCATCAGACACGTCCAAACTGATATACTGTGGATATATCTACATGTGTCTGCTGTTACTTTTGTTTGATGAATTGGCGCCATATATTACATTTCTTTTTATTTTTTTAATATCTTTTTCTACTTTTCCCTTCTAATTCTTAAATGTTTTGGTTGAAAATCTGGCTTTAACCTAGAAATTATGTTTAATTGGATTAGTGTTGGATGCTTTAACAGTATAAAAGGTACAATCGATCACAATTTGATTGCAAAATATTTTGGATGTAACAGCCACTGTCATGGAAGATTATTACTTCTAGTTCAAGTATAATAATATGGATAGATATTAATGTTGATATTTCACGTACATTATTATATGTTAAAACAAGATGGATTAGTAATATAACATGATATGCGACAATTAATCAAATAAAAAAAAAATTATCTGCATTTGATTGTTTGATAACCTTATCCTGTAAATAGTTGAGTACTCTATAATGTCAATATTAATTTGTTCCTGACTATGTCTTTAGTTCTTTATGGTGTCCTTGGACGAGGAAATTTAAATTTTAAGGTATTATAGAACTTGTGCTAAAATATGTTTTGAATACACCACAAAAATCTAGATAGAAAGATCCAGTACATTTGAAAGAGCTTTCACAAGACACCTTTGTTTAGTGGTTTTGTAGTGTTCTAATAGCAGCTTTATAGTTTTAGTTTATTGGTTGTTTTTGTTGTATATTTTTAACAATCGAATATAAAATTCCTTTGTACTTTAAAACCCCTCCTCCAAACATAACATTAGAGAATTATAACTATTAAACATTCTTGATGCATCGGCAACTTAATGATTGTATCACGGAATTTTGGCAAAGTTCCTCGAATTATTGAACCCTTAATGCTTTCCAAATGTTTTACTTTGATTCATTGTCTCACATTTTCCATGGTACAAGTTTAAATGATTGCAACCCAATAATCAGAAATCTCACAGCTTTGTCAATTTCTGATTGGCAAAACATTTAGTGCACTAATTCATCTATGGATTGGGGTTTATGCAATTTTAATGAAGCTGCTTGAACTTTTGCTATTAATAATATAACTTCAAATTTATCTCTTCATTCTTGGCCTTCGCTAAACAACCATGAAGTATAGATCTGTAGACTATAATAGCATATTTTTGCTCATAAATGTATTCATGTTGTGTTTAGCTGTGAAGTCTGATCTTTCTGCAGATTTCTATAAGCAGATATGTCCAGATCTTTATAAAATAGTCAGGAAGGAGGTTACAAATGCTGTAAAGAACGAAATGCGAATGGCAGCTTCGTTGCTTCGGCTTCACTTTCTCGATTGCTTTGTGAATGTGAGTTCAGAAAATTTTGGCAATAATTTTTTTTACAGGCCTTTATGATTTCATCCGAATCATATATTTTCACGTAATTTGACCTTAATTGGGGCTGTGATGCATCCATTCTATTGGATGGACGTAACAGTGAGAAATTTCCCACTTCAAATTTGAACTCAGCAAGAGGATTTGAAGTGGTAGACAAAGTCAAAAATGCTGTGGAGGGTGCATGTAGTGGAGTTGTATCTTGTGCTGATATATTAGCCCTGATCGCCCGAGATTCTGTACTCTTGGTAAGTTTTCATCTTTGGTTTCTCAAATTAATAAGGTAGTAACATGCCAAAGAGAAGGTATGAAACCCATTATTTTGCAGGAAACCTCAAACAGACCCCTAACAGGCCTCGTTTGGCAGCTCGGACTGTACTGACTATTTCTGTCGGATAGGATAAATAGCCACCGGATAGTACTGACTAAATTAGTCGGGCGTTTGGTGTAGTTTCGGACTAATAACCGTATTATTTATACTGTGTTTGGTATTATAGCGGATAGGAGGAATCAAACTTAAAATAAAATTTAATAAAAAAACGGAAATCCTCTCTTTTGTTCCCAGATCTCTCCGCCGCAAACCCCCCAAAATCCCTCCCTCTCTATCCTTTCTTCTTCTTCCCCGTCTGCTCCCTGAACGAAACCCCACCACAAAGGCAGCAACAAGAAAAAGAGCAAAACCCACCTTTCAAATTCTCATCGTTTTTTTCCCAATCCTTCTTTGTTTTTTGTTTTTTTTAGCTACAAATCAACCCAGCAAAAGTACTGAGGAGGACTGGGTTCGTTGGAAGAACTGAGGATGAAGAAGAAGAAGAATGTGATGGAATTTGAACCATAACCATTTAGTACAATGATATAGTATTATTTTGAATTCAGCAAACCATAACCATTTAGCTACAATCGGGCTCTTCTTCTTCTTCTTCAAATCTTTGAATTTCCCAATCCTTCTCTTTCTTCCCATATTCTTCTTCTTCTTCTTCAAATTCCATCGTTTTTTTTTTAGTTTCTGCTTTGCAGGTTCGCCGACTAAGGAATTGGGTTTTGGGATTTGTGGGAAGGAGGGGGAAGAACAAAGGGAGGGGAAACGAAGAAGAAGATGTTCACCTCTGTTGACTGCGTGGTGGTGGGTGGTGGAATCAGTGGGCTCTGCGTCGCTCAGGTGCTGGCTACCAAGCACGGCGACGCCGTTCCGATTGTCATAGTCACGAAGGCTAAGGACCAGGTGGGAGGCAACATCATCACCATCGAGAAGGACGGCTATGCTGGAGTAGAGACATGGCTGTGTCTGGAGAGGAAGGACCCGACTAAACTGTCCCGTGGTTTTGGAGAGGATAAACAAGCGGGTGTTTACCGTATAAAGTAGGTGGGACCAGATTGTTTAATCCGGTGGCTATTTAATACAATTGGACACCAAACACCGTACTCCGTATTATTAGTACTATCCGATATCTTATACGGTGTGCCAAACGGGGCCAAGATGTTTATATTATGCCTCTTGGTACTAGAAGGTCTAGGAGTTCAAATAGAAAACGAATTAGAGAAACAAAATATAAAAAATATCTTAATATCTTAAAGGGAATTGTTATTGGTAGTAAAAAATTTAACTGTGCACTCTAAACTTTCTAGTTTTAGAAAGAAAAGTACTCTTATGAGCAGTATGCATAATAAGATTTTTGAAGTGTCAATAGTTTCTTATCTTAAATTGCCGATGCAACATAGTAAATGACAAAATTAGGATATGAAGTCAAATTTGAACAAGGGAAGATTTTCGATTCCCTCCAACATCTGACCAACCCACATTAGATGTTGTGAAGAATGAATCTCACATTGATAGGAGGAGGTACCTTGTTGTATTGACTTATAAGTAAGTTGGGTTACTACCCATATAATTAACCAATTGGTTTAATAATTGAACCCCAACTTTCTTCATTGTATCAAAGCAAGTTGTTTTGCATGTGAAGCCAACGGTCACACTTGCTCTACATCACCCGCTTTGTGTTGTCCATGTGCTAAACTTATAAATAAGTTGGGCTACTCTCTATATAGCCAATTAGGTTAGTAGTGGAACCCTAACTTTCTTCAAATGCAACTAGCTCAACTAAAAAAAACTAGTTAGTTGTTGTTTTGTCAGAAAAGAGCTCAAGTAAGTAATTACAATATATTACATCACATTTAATTTAACGTGGCAAATGCGAATTTGAACTACATTATTACTAGTCCATTGTAAGGCTTAACTCACTTCCCCACCCTCTTAGGGTAGATAATATCATTAAACGTGGCAAAGGTCATTAGGCAGCATGTAGCGAAAACGGCCTCTAAATGTAGAGGTTCGAGATTCATATAATTATTATATAGAAGAACGGACGCGACAGATGAATCTAAGAGCAAGTCCACCCCTAAGGACTTTGCGCCAGCACCTAGCGTATTTATCCACCCAAGTGAACAGTAATAGACCCCACTGAACAGTAATAGGCTAAAGCAGCTCCACCCCTAAAAATAGGCTGGCACCCAGTCCATCTAATATTATATTACTTTATTTATATCAATTAATATTTTATCATTTAATTTATTTTTTCTCTTCTCTGTCCGGTCATCTTCCCTTTACTTCTCTCTCTCTCTCTCTTTTCCAGCTCACTCCCGTGAGCTTTCCTTCTCCTTCCTCTTCAAAACCTTCAACAAATCATTCTCCTTCCTCTTCAAAACCTTCAACAAATCAAATACAAAATATTATTTTTGTAATCCCTGGAGCTCAAGGAACCCAACCATGGCCTTGCATGCGGCATCGGTGTATGGTGCGAGATCCTACCATTGAAGCCGAGAGCTTGAGCTCTCAATCTCTAACCCAAGTGATGTTTCTATCACTGTATTGTGTTATTGAGTTTTAAATCCTGTTGTGTTGCAAGTTTTGTGGTTAATTTGAGGGCTTAATTCCCTGCATGTGATTCCGACAAAGGAAAACGGACAACTCCGACGAGTTCAAGGTCCAATCTCGGTGAAATCTCTTGCATTTCACCTGGGTAAGTTCTCAATCCTATTCTTATGGTTTCTAACATATAAATCGTGTTGGAAACCTTTGTGTTGATGCAAACATGCTGTTGGTGCATTTTTTCAGATTTTCCGACGAACTCAGGCCATCACCTTCAGGCCATTTGCCTTCTCCCTCCGTGCTCATTCCCTCCCTGACGTCAGCAAGCGTCATACAGGCCGGTCCCAAGGTCTGTCAATTTTGGGCTGGCCTAGAGACCAGCTTGGGCTGGGTGCCAGGCAATCTGTTGGGCTGGAGAGATTTCCCTAGGTGCCGGGCCATTTTTTTGGCTGGGTGCCGGCCTATCCCATCCCCGGTGGAATTGCTCTAAGGGCATGACAATGTGAGAGTGGAGGCCCGTCGTGGAAAGTTTTACTGGGAAGAAGGGACGGACAGGTGCCAAATCAAAGAGGAGCTAATCTTGCTATTCCTTCTCAATATGACACATTGGATACAATAATTTCAAATTTTGGCAATGTTGGACTCAATGTCACAGATGTGGTCTCCTTGTCAGGTACATAACAAAAAAGCCTATATAATTATAGAAATGGTTGCAATTTCTATCTTTGCTAATATATTAGAAACGACTGAGATTATTGTTTCGTTTCTGTTGGCGTGCTTGTATGCATTTTGCATTTGAGAGTCAAACTTGATTGGTATTGGGGTATCACAAAGGAATTGGGGAGTCCTAAAAATGAAATTATATTGGGTCAAACATTCTAGTAGTGTATAAATAGATGTATATATCATATAACAAATATGTTTGTGTGTGTATAAACTTATCCCTATATCTAAAATGTAGTGCCCTATCCTCCTTTGTGTACTTATTCCCTTTGCTCATCATGTGTGTGTAAGAAGAAGGATAAGGTGCGAGATTGTGATCCAAGTGATGAGATTATCAATGGTCAAAATAAAGCCATTTGTCAAGAGATTAAATAGGCTGTTATGCATATAGTTAGGGGTGGTTCGGTATGGGATACCATACCGAAACTAGTATCCCGAATCCCAAACCGAAATTTTTCGGGAAGGGAATTTAAAGACCAATCCCAAACTAAATTTTCGGGAATCCCAAAATATTTTCGGGATTTCGGGACAAATCGGGAATCCCAAATTGAAATATGAAATTATGAATTGTTGTTCAAATATATAATTCAAAAACACATTCATGAACTAGGAATGTCATTTCATTCACACTACCATTTAATCTAAAACTAGCATGCCTGACTGTTTTTATCAGAGTCAAAATTCAAATTAATTAAACCCTTTTTGCAATCTGTTGAGAGACAAAAGAATCAGGCCTTTTGAAATCATTAGCCATGGCAGCAGCAATAATAAAATCCAAATGAATATCAAACAGAACATGAAAAATATGCAAGGTGTAGGGCATTTCAGGTTGCAGAGCATGAATTAGAAACTACTAACATCAATTATAAAAGAATAATATATATAATATATATGTATAAATATATATAAATGTATATATAATTAATATTATATATTTTCGGTTCGGTATGGGATTCCCGATATCGAGAAGCCAATCCCGAATCCCGTACCGAAATTTCGGGATTGGTTTGGGATAGCACCCCGAAAATTTCGAGAATTTCGGTTTGGGAAATTTTTGGTTTGGGATCGGGATTTTTTCGGTTCGGTTCAGGATTTTAGGGAATTTTTTCCACCCCTACATATAGTTAGCAGTTAGAATTTGGTGGACTTGGATAAAGTTGGTTAGAGATAGAGTTAGTTGATATAAGGAGGTAGTTAACAAGGAATACTTGCTCTGCAAGCTTTGTACTATGTTGATGCACAAAACCGGAGGTTTTGGAACAATGTAAATCCGACCGTGAATCTGCAAGTAATGTAAATAACACAAGATGTATCGTGGATAACCCCAAGTTTTGGGCAACATCCACACTGATTATGTATTTATCTGAGGGGGAGAGCGAGCTCTGAGAGTGAGAGATTTGAGAGGGGGTGAGGAGCCTTATGAATTGGCCTCCCCTAATTGTGAGGGTGAGGGGTCCTTTTATAGAATAAGGACTCCTCACTTATTACATATTTGCCCATTCCTTTATTACATAATTCATTTAAGTCCCCCGAGTATTTATACGAGGTCTAAATATGGTATAAACAGTGGTTCCCCAAGTCTTCAGTCAAGAGAGTCTTTTGGCTGGAGACTTGAAATTCAGTCCATGTGTGGGCCGAAGTAAGTAGATGTTGTCTTGAACTGATGCTTGATATGAGGTGGTGTTCAATCTGAAATGATGCTCAACTAGAAGTAGCACACGTTGCGAGGCTGCGAGGCTCGTGGCTTATGTTGCCTTGGTTGGCTCTGTTTGTGGCGTTTGACGATGAGGGAGTCCCTTTTATAGAATAAGGGCTCGCTTCTCAATATATGAATGATGGGCTAGAGTTGATGCTCTCTAATGATGGTGAGGGAGTCCCTTTTATTAAATAAGGGCTCGCTCCTCAGTACATGAATAATGGGTTAGGAGTGATGCTTGTGGCGATGCGGTTGCTTAGCTGGCGGTGATACTCTTTAACGAAGGTGAGGGAGTCATTTTATAGAATAAGGGCTCACTCTTCAATACATAAATATGGGCTAGAGTTGATGCTCGCGGCGAGGCAGTTGCTCAGTAGGTGGCGATGCTCTCTAATGATAGTGATGGAGTCCCTTTTATAGAATAAGGGCTCGCTCCTCAATACATAAATACGGGCTAGAGTTAATGCTCTCTAATGGTGGTGATGTTGGAAATATGCCCTGAAAGTCAATCTTTGGAAGAAATCTTTCAGGACAAATGAATGGATGTATGGATGAATCTTATACATCAAAGGCAAAAACACGAATTAGGACTATCTCAATGAACGATATATGTCCTAAATAGTGTATCCATGGACAATAGATTGATTGAAGAAGTAATCTAATGATGTTAGATTACAGAGACCTTCTTCATATAACCAAATGTCCAAAAGGTTCCTAGTCATTGGATTGTCAGAGGGATACTGACAATGCGTAGACTGGTACATACTGTGTCTGCTTCAAATGGAAGGATGGAAAGTCTCATCCCATTCGTGTTGTGACACTAAGACAAGTATGTAGGTGCTCATTAGGGGAATGAGTTCACTGAACACACAATCGAACGAGAGTACTTGCATGGAGGTCTACTCACATGTCAAGCAAGTAACTCTAATGGTTGGAATAATGTAAGTAGTCCTTAGACCTGAGGCATCGTCGTTGTCTTGTGGCTAAGTACTTAATCTTTGATTATGTCAAAGTCTCCCCATTCGAGGGTGTCCACGGCATGATTGGGGTTAAGCCACTTAGTCATGAAGGCAAGTGTATGCGCAACAAGGAATCTCTAATCCTCGGTAAGAGAGGAAGAATGCTCTAAGATATGATTCGAGAATCTTCGGCCGAAGTATCGAGCGTATTAAAAGGAATGCGTTCCTATACGACTCAAATGAATCATATAAGAAGGAATAATCACATTAGGGGTTTGACATAATATATCCATACCCTAATGATGTGATTGAGAGTATTGTATTAGAGAAGGATCGAATTACATTGTAATTGTAACTGAATAGGTTCTCTGAATAAACTTCTATATTAGCTTGGGTAGCTATGACATATGGTTAGATGTCACTCATAGCTTGTGAGTTCTTCTAGATGATTAAATGTAGTCATCAAAGAAGAATGGTGAATTGAAATGAAGTTTCAATTCACTAAGTGATTGAATTAATTGGATTAGTGCCAATTACCTCACTGCCTTGCTAATTAGAACCTAAAAGATTGTTCACCAATACACTATTGTAGTGAGTAATTAATGGATGATGGAAACAATTAATTGGATTAATTATGTGTTGTGATTAATTTAGAAAAGTCTAAAGAAATCATAAAAGCGATAAAGATCGTTTTGGGCTTAAAGAAACGTTCGGGTTTAATTGGGCCCATTGGGCCTAAACCCATTGGGCTTTCATTCAAGCATTGAATGACTTGAAATAATAAAAGCCCAAAGCCCAAACAACACTACAAGGGCCGGCCACTTTTAGGTGTTTAGGAGAGAAGAATAGTCAAGTTGTTGACTAGGTTTCTTTTGTCTATAAAAGGAACTTTATAGAAAATGTTTCATGAGGGTTTTTTTTGTGTGTTTAGAACTACAAAGAGGCAAAAGAAAAACTCTCTCAAATACTCACAAGGGCCGGCCACCTTAAGGGAAAAATAGCTAACAATCTTTCACCCTTTTGGTTATTCCTTCATCCTTCTCATTACACTAGTGGGTGAGGATCTTTAGAGGTTTCCTACTTTGGAAACTTGAAGAGAACCTAGGAGCACTCATTCTTTCAAAGTGGAGGAGGCAAGGAGGGAAGCTAGGCTCAAGGATTTCAAGGAGCAAAGAGCTTGGAGGTGGTCCATCCTTGGTCTAAAATCAAGATCAAGAGGTATAGATCTATTCCTTGACTTTGTTCTTGATTCTTTAAAATGTTTTGATGCATTATATATAAACCTATGAACCTTGAAGGGGATTTGCATGACTATAGCTTTGATTTTATTTGATAACATGCTTCCGTTGCTCATGTATATAAATTTTGAATTGTATATGCATGCTAGTCATCTAGAAATCCCACATGAAACTCATAAATTTCCCTTCAATTGGTATCAAGAGCCAAATGTTTATGTATAATGTGTCCTTTTGGATTTTATGCATATGGGTATTAATGTTATGTATGACATATTACTTTTCCATTCAAAGTATGTTTATCTTTTGTTTTTTCAATAGTTGAAAAATGTTAGTCAAAAGTTGAGAAAGATATGTATGCAAAATGTTTTGTATGCATGAATGAAAAATGAGTTTAGAACTAGTATGACATATTATTTCTTCATTTAAAAGTATGTTTATCTTTTGTTTTTCAATGGTTGAAAAAATATAAATCAAGAGTTGAAAAAGATATGCATGTAAAAGTTGTTTTGTATGCATGAATGAAGAATAAGTCATGAACAAAATTTGGGGTTTTGTTACTTGGGGTTGGCATGGTTTTGGCTTAGTGTTTGTGTTTTTATTTTGAATCACACACACACTTTAAAGCTAGAAAGTAGAATCTTGTCACTTTTGTTTTTGGGTTTGAAAAATCACCAAGAACATATAAATCTTGAAAATGTGTTCATGGTTTTGTTCTTGGTGTTCATGGTTTGGATTTGATGAAAAATGGTTTTCATGCATTGTTTTGTGGTTTTTGGATGATGTACATACCATCCATAGCCATCTCAAAAAATATATTAAATCCTAATCTTTATTAGGTGAATTTCCATCATTTTTGTTTCATTAAAGTCCTTAAAGCATAGACAAGTGACAAATAAAATTTGTTATTCCTACTTTTTGAAATGATTTAAAGCAAGATAAGTGAGACCTTCCATCCCCACAATATATGGCCGGCCTACCCTATCAAAATACCCACTTGTGGGGTATTTTGTAATTTAGAAAAAGACATTTTATACTTTTGAGTATTTATGGTTTGACC